TATATTTACATATTTATAATTAGTATATTTATTGTACTGTAAAATATTATACAATCTCAATTTAAAATACTAGAAACTGGGGTTATTAAAATTTTCATTACTGTCTATAACCACCTATGATGAAATCACTCATGGTTTCCATACATTGTGACTAGAAATAAAATAAAGGTGTATTTAATGGACTTAAATACAGATGTCTCGAAAATGAATAATTATAAGAAATTTGATGACAAAATCAACGTTGCAAAAATTACTAAATATTTCTTCCCTCCTGTCTCGAATTACAGGTGAAGATTCAAGTGATCGACGTGAACGACAACAAACCCGAGTTCATTTTTCCTGACAGCAGTCCAAAATTATCGAGAGGACGATACTTCGCTGCCATTCCACGATCAGCACAATTTGCATCGACGGTGATACAAGTGAAAGCACACGATAAGGACAACGGCAAGTACGGGAAGCTTGAGTACAAGATACTAGGAGGTCGAGGATCGGACTACTTCGCCATGGATAGCTCTTCCGGAATAATTAGAACCACCGCAACGTTCGACAACGTGGATCTAGCGGACCTTCCATTCAAGTTCGACGTCCGAGTTCGGGACAATCCCAATTCAACCGACAACTTCAAGTCCATCGTCGCGCCTGTCATAGTGAATCTGATCGGAGAGGAAAACCTGATGATCCTGGTAGTTCAAGACGCGCCTCCAGACGCGTTGCAGAAGGAAGCATCGAAGATAGCTGCTATCATCGAAGACAAAAGCGACCTCCTGATTGGCATCGACAGAGTAGCCGTGAGGAAAAATTTGACGAGGAATGGAACCGTCGAAATGTATCCCCAAGATTCTGACGTGTGGTTCTATGCGATTGACCCGGACACGGAAGCCATTTTAGACAGAAACAGCTCGCGCATACAAAGGTAAGACGTTCATATTTTGTCATAATTATAATGTTAACACGAGAATCCCATAAATTTGATGGAAAATATTTTTGAAACGTTAATGCTGAAAATTAGGAAAATTAAAATATATGTTTCAACAGTGAGTAAAAATTTTTAACAGGAACTTAGGAATTTATAAAGGATTATGCAACTGTCTATTTTTTTTTTTTATAGAAAATTGGTAATAAAATGAGATTTGGATACACAATTGTTTTGTATTATATTTCGTCATAATTATGGTGTCAACGCGAGAATCCCATAAATTTGGTGGAAATATTTTTGAAGCGTTCATACTAAAAATTAGGAAAATTAAAATATACGTTTCAATAGTGAGTAAAATTTTTTAATAGGAATACTAATTTTATTGTTAGTATGAAATGCAAGTAAAAATAGTCAATTATTTATTAACGATTATGCAACTGTCTATTTTCTTTTTATAGAAAATTGGTAATATGATGAGATTTGGATACACAATTGTTTTGTATTATATTTTGTCATAATTATGGTGTTAACGCGAGAATCCCATAAATTTGGTGGAAAATATTTTTGAAACGTTAATGCTAAAAATTAGAAAAATTAATATATACGTTTCAATAGTGAGTAAAATTTTTTAATAGGAATACTAATTTTATTGTTAGTATGAAATGCAAGTAAAAATAGTCAATTATTTATTAACGATTATGCAACTGTCTATTTTCTTTTTATAGAAAATTGGTAATATGATGAGATTTGGATACACAATTGTTTTGTATTATATTTTGTCATAATTATGGTGTTAACGCGAGAATCCCATAAATTTGGTGGAAAATATTTTTGAAACGTTAATGCTAAAAATTAGAAAAATTAATATATACGTTTCAATAGTGAGTAAAATTTTTTAATAGGAATACTAATTTTATTGTTCGTATGAAATGCAAATAAAAATAGTGAATTATTTATAAACGATTATACAACTGTCTATTTTTTTAATAGAAAATTGGTAATAAAATGGGATTTAGGTAAACAATTTGTTTTGTATTATAATTGTCATATTTTATATATTTATTTTATGTACATATATTTTTTAAAAACATATGTATAGATATATTGCATATGCTATATACATTTCCCATATTCAGTTTTGTTACGTTTATTACATGTATATTATAAAAAAATGTACATTTAGTGAAGAAAGTATTACATCGAAATGAAACACGAGTTTGAAGAAAAATTTTGGATTTTAAAGTATATAACTAATCCATGATGCTTTATGAGATAAAATTACCGAGTAGCCAATAGAAATTGAGTAAATTTAAATCAGTCATATCGAAGTATAAATATTAATTATAAATTAGCTTAAATTAATTAAATTTTGTAATTAAGGATTTATATAACTTACTTTATAATCATTAAATCATCAAAATTATGGTATTCAAATATTATAAATTGCCTCATTATAGCAAACTTTCAATACAGTTACTGCCAATCCCACCTATGCATACATACATACTTTATACATATGTTAATATGTTTTTGCATATGATTATATATTATATTTCCATATCTCATATTTTATTTCCATATTTTGCTACATCTTATGTTCAACAATAGTATAATAATGTTTCTATTATTGTAACATTTTCAATATGCTTATTGCATGTTACACATAACTTTTATATATGTTCATACATTGTTGCATATATTTATATATTTATTTTTACTTTTCTTAATTTTTAAACATTCAAATTTATTTCTTATTGCATAGAAAGAGATAAAATAATTTTTAAACCATATATTGCTACTGTTATACCTATATGAAACATGTAGATGAGTTTTAATGTACCATGAAACTTTATAGTCATGCAAAGTATGTAGGTAAATTTTAATATATTAAGAAACTTTCCAGTTATGTTAAAAATTTAGGTAAATTTTAATATATCAAAGAAGGTTTGATTTTATTTTTAGTAGCTTCCAGAAAATTGCATAAATTATTTTATATTATGGATGGGGGCTCTCTGAAAAATTTTTTTAAATTGCAGCAGGTCCTATGCACTAAAATTCACATGTTTCCATAAAAAAACGGTCGTAATTTAATTAATAAAATTGAATAATATTATCCTCTTGCACTGGGATTAATAAAATAACAATTTAAAAATTTTCTTCCATAAAATAGACGATATTTTCTAAATTAGCAACTAAAACATCGTATATAAGTTAACACATGGAATTATTTTATTCCAATATTTCACGTATTGTTACATTATTCTAAATTAAATGTATTAATTAATATCGGTCTTTAAAATTTTATAAAATGGTGAATGGAAATCGTTTCCTAATTACAAATAGTTATCATATCTTTGCACTATGATTTAATTATGAAAAATTATACATCGAAGAAGTATTTTAGTTTAATTAATCACTATACATCTATTCTATTCACGATAAATTCACGTAAAAATTTTCGAAATTCTACGAATTTTGTGCTTCTTGAAATATGTTGAACATAGTTATGATAAATGTAGTTTATAATCGTGAAATTCTACACGTGAAGAACTCGTGACAAGTTAGCTTCGTTTCTGCAATGCAAAGGATTAATCGCGTTGATCAAGAGCTACGAACTTTCAATTTCTATCATAAATTGACTCCCATTTTTCACAATGTTTTTACTTTCAAAAAATTCATAACAATTCGGAAAAAATAACCTTAAAAAGAGTGTAAAAAGCAAATGCAAGGAATAACAGTACCATTTATCATTTACGAGTACTTCCATTTGTACTAGTCAATTTTCTATCGCAACTGCGAAACAATTACGAACACACAGAAATTTTATAGTCATCGTGGAGGAACGTAACAATTTTATGTCTCCACGTAATCCTGAATCAACAATTCAAGCATGACTTTGCCTCGAGACTATTTCTATCTCGTCCAGTGTACTCGAATTGGACGACGAGTAAAATCGTTTCTAAGACACGCGTTTCTGTTGCAGGTCGATCATCGAAAAGGCGGCCATGTCGAATATCACTTTTGACGTGTCTACGCTGGTTCGCGCGAACGCGATAGACATTCACGCGCCAGTAATGCCACCTGAACCAGTTCGTACGCAAACCGCCATAGCTTTCAGCGGCGAGGTGTTTCCGTACGCGTTGATAATTATCGCTTGTGTCATACTCATCCTGGGCATAGCTGGGATCATCTACATCTGCGTTTCCTGGTCCAGGTAATTAACCAATTATCTCATCGCGGTGATGCACGTCGAATACAGCGAAGGCGTAAATAAATAAATGAATTTCAACGCGAGTTTGACTGAGCTAATAGCGTAGAATTCTATACGCGGAATTTAGAACGCAGAATTCAGAATCCTAGGCTCCGAAGCCTAGATTCAGAACTCTATATTCTTAACTCAGAAATCTGTACTTGGAATTCAGAACGCAGAACTCAGAACTCTATACTTGGAATTCAGAACGCTGAACTCAGAACTCTATACTCAGAATTCAAAACGCAGAACTCAAAATTCAGAACTCTATACTCAGAATTCAGACCGCAGAACTCAAAACTCAGAATTCAAAACGCAGAACTCAAAACTCATAATTCTATAGTCAGAACTCAGAACTCAGAATCCTATACTCAGAATTCTGAACGTAGAACTCAGAACTCAGAATTCAATATTCAGAATTCAGAACGTAGAACTCGGAACTCTATAGTCAGAACTCAGACCTTAGAATTCGAAACGCAGAACTCAGAACTCTCTACTCAGAATTCGGAACGCAGAATTCAAAACTCAGAATTCTATAGTCAGAACTCGAAACTGTATACTCAGAATTCAAAACGCAGAGCTCAAAACTCAAAACTCAGAATGCAGAACCCAGAACTCAGATCTAATAACTGAGAGATAATAACTAATGAGCAATAACTGTTAAAAAGTACCTAACATCCATTAACTAAAATCAAATAACGAACATCGAATAACTAAGCACTAATAACAAATACCTCAATACTCGGAACTCGGAACTAATAACCAATAACTCATAACTAACAACTAATAACTCTTAACAGACAACGAATAACTAATAATTACTCTCTCAGAATCCTATACCCAAAACTCAGAACGCAGAACGTCCTAACCTAACTTTTCTCTTAGCAAAGTAATCGTCGCGAAGCTTAAGAAGTGAAGCTTCGAAACTCGAGAACTTCGCCTTAAATCGAAGCAAATGGACCCTGTGCGAGGAACCATCGCGTATTCCAAAGAGCAATTTAAAACTGCCATGAGTCATGCATCCTGGATTTGCTCCGTGAAGTCGAACAGTTTCGGTTGTTTACGCGACTCAATTTCCGCGTGCAATTGTTGCGTAAACAACGTTGCTAATGTCGTGTGAAAGAAGAGTTTCCAAGTGTCGGGATGAATATTCATTCGGCCGCGTGCCATGCAAATTCATCGTTCCCTTTATTACTTCCATTAGAATTAATTACGTTTTCCGGCCTGGTTGCCTCTTAAAACATTCAGCATCACCGCGATACGTCAGACACGGTATCGTTTGCTTCAGTTTTTGCGCCACTTCGCGGGCCCTAATACCGCGAATGCTATTCGCCGCGTTATCCTACATAGCTGTTCTGTCATGCACACAGATACAAAGCGTACAAGGAACGGATGCAGCGAATGTACGTCGTGCCCCGTTACGATCCTGTGTACGTGGAGCCTAATTTGAAGGAATACGAGACGCAGGTGCTTCAAATGAGCGTGCCCGTGGACGACAACGACAGCTACAACGACCTCCAGCTGGATTTCAGTAACAAGAATCACGCGTTCAGCCTGGACAATGTTAGTTATATTACCAAAGATCACGGAGAAAGTACTGGTAATTATATTTTCTTCAGTTACATGTTCTAGGTTACCAATCGTAGAAGATATATTAACCCTTTGCACTCGAGAGACACTCTTTACTAGTGTTGGATGAAATATAATAACAATAAGAACAATTATTTATTTAATTGCAAAGATCATCAAACTCAAATATTAGGCTGAAATGTAATTATTTTATCACTACCACATGCTCACACATCTTCTCTTTATTAATACTCAATTGCAACTGACGTATGCCAAATCACTCTCCTTTTTTTCTTTTTTCCTTCATACATTACATTAACATGCACACCTCAATCATTACACGCATACTTATTTATCATAATAACCTGAATTCATTAGATATTTCCATACCATGCATACTTGTTCCATCCATTCCAATACATTTATATTTAAAAATCTATGTAACCATTATCACACTCTTCAGTTGCCATTTGATAAAATTTCGAAGCTCGATATTCATTAATATAATATGTCAAATTTAAGATAATGTAACGGTGTACAAGATATCGGAATCACATAATTTTACGTGTTAATTATTACATGACTTCTTATTTACTGCTTAAAAAAATATCGTCAGCTTTATAGCAGAAAATCTTTGAACTCCGACTCATCTTCAGCCAAAAAATCGTCGAGTGCAAAGGGTTAATAATATTGATTATATACCGGGTGTTGATGAATCGTTGTAAAAATCGCAACAAGATGATTCCTCGCATGAAACTGGATCGAAAGTGTAGAATAAAGTTTTTTCGTACGGGGTTCCGTTTTTGAGAAAATCGTGTTGGAAGATTCGTTGAGTGGGCATGCACCTGGTCATAGTCTTCGGCGTTTCTTCGCACTACTGCTTGCCTTGAAAATAACAGTCACTGAGGATTCGATATAACTTTTAGTGAATAGAGTTAGTTTACTAATTTACAAATTTTGAATATGTCGACGAAATAATGGAACTGAACTGAACGCATTCCCGTCGAATTTTTGGACTCGATTTTCTCGAAAATGAAGCCCCGTATAAGAAAATTTTATTCTACATTTTCGGTTCAGTTTCACGCGAGGAATCACTTCATGTTGGTTGTACTCCGATTTCACACTGTAAAATTTTTAATCTGATGTGATATATAAGCTATTGCTCAAAATTATTTTGAAATATTAATTCTGAAATTAATCATCCTGCTACTATTATTATTATTATTATAGTAATGCATTGTAGAATACAGTACGACAAAATTAATTCAAATCAAATCCCATAAAATTGTTTTGCTATTTGAAAATTTCTCTATTTTTGAATTACTTAATTTCTGAGTAATAGATTAGATGAGAACAATTCTTTTTAATTGATATATTATCAGATCTAATTTTAGCAATAATATTTGAATTTAATTTTAATTTTAATATACGAAATTATAATTTATTAGATTCATAAAGCATCAAAGTATTCGTATGTTTCTAATTCTTAGTTTGAGAAATTTTAAACAGAGATTCGACCAATTGCTAAAATATTCAACAAATGATATTACGTAACGTGAAAAGTGTAAGGAAATAGAGGGCTGTCAGTAAATAAGCAAAATATAGTAAGTAATATGCAAGAGGAAACTATTTCGCTGCAAGGTCTAGTTTTCTGCGATAAAAGAATTTTTAAATAAAAATTAGAAAGATAAAAAATATTACATACATAAAAAAAGAAGAACGAGGTTAGAGATAACGGCGCAGTAAATACAGCCTAGAAAATGATTATGTGCCTTGACAGCACCAATATCTTGCAAAGGTTCAATATATTGGCCCGACATATCGTTCACCCTTCGTCACAACTACCGTTATAAATCTCTCGGATTCGAAACTCGTATAAATTTCACTGAACAGCGCAATATTGACACTTTCCTCAACAATAGCCGAGAACTTGGTTCCCTGACATTATTCTATCCCCCGATATCTCCCAAATTACATCATCAATTTCACCAATTTCTGAGCATGAAAAGTTTCGAAAACTCTTGGAAATTTTGTTTCTCCGAGAAGTTGTTTTCCCTCGAGGAAATATAACCCTTTAACACACCATTAATTTCCACGCGATAAGATGATCCGGGAGAATAGAACGAAAGAGTTTACGAACGCGTTTATCATCTGTTCAGGTCAACAAAGTCCTGTGAGCTCCGAGGCAGCGACTACAGCGCGCGCCTCGAGCATAGTGGGGACTCACGGAGATACCAACATCCACTCCTTGCGACGATCTACGCTCGGCAGAAAGAATCACAACAACAGTAACGCGAACACGTTGAACAACCACGACGCGACGCCCGTCTTGAATCCACTCTACAACCATGGCAACGACCTTCTGAGTCCTAGTCCTTCGAACGATAACGTGACGTTCAGAGAAAAAAGGGATTATTCTCATCTCGGATTCACGTACTTGGGCGAGCAGAGCCCGGTAGAGACGACCACGGAATTGTAAACGAGGTTACTGCACGGAATCACAGATGGTGTTCGAATATGCTCAAGTCCCGAAACTTTTGGTGGATTTCTCGCTGCGTGTTGTGTGCGGCGCGATAACGAGGACTTTTGTGCCCATAGTGACGTAGTTCTCACACGGTATCGAGCTATCGGTAAAGAAGGAAAATCGTCGTTAATCAGTAAAGAAGAAAAATCATCTTTGATCAGTAAAGAAGAGAAATAGCCGTTAATCGATAAAGTAGAAAAATCGTCGTTAATCGTGCGACGTCGATATACCGTCGCTCGTTTCTAAAGATGGCAGCACATTTCTGAGATTAATTTTCGCGCAAAGCAATCGCGATACCCACGAGAATTAACAGTTTGCTTCGCAGTTCCGACAACCGACTGAACTGAGAGCAGATGCCGATGCATTTCTAAACAAGCGCAAGATTTGTTCCGCGCGACGAACTTTCAATCGAACTGTCGCGATGAATAGAGCGCCACGTGTGCTGCGACGGAACGAGGTCGCGAATACTTTGTGCGATCGAGAACAAAAACCGGCGTGCTTCATTCCGTGTACGCATCGGCAAGCTTCCACCGTTGTCCGCGGCGTGGCGCACGCAATCGTAATTCAGCAAAATCCGAGTCGATAACGGCGCGTCGGAAACCATTATTTTCGCGATTTTGTTCGGGCGCAACCGAACGCGCGGTTTCCACGACTGTACAACGAAATTGCCATCGATTTTGCGACACAACGAGTTTAATGTGATTCAAGCCTTTTGTTCCCAAGTGCCCGGCGACACCGCGTTATTTATCGCGTCGCTGAACGCAGGGAAGTTTAAACGCGACGTCGAAAGATGGAGACACCTTCGATGTAAGTCTCGTGTCGGATCTCTGCTGTGCAATAGTTTATCGTCCCCTGCGATCAACGTGGCCGAGTGAATCTTATTTTTCGTGCAACACGGTCGACGAGACCTCGTGTACATGTGAAACGATAGGAATTTTTATTCGGAAGATTTGCGGTAAAGACATAGCAGTTATGAGTCAGCGTACCGTCCAACTTAGCAAATAAGGGTTAATAAAATAATTGATTTATAAAAGGTGTGTTTCGAGCGAATGATCGAACGTGTGTTCTGTATATGTGTGATCGGCCCATGAACTTAAATATATGTATATGTATGAGAGACCCACGTAAGACCATTGTATAATAAGATCTTTCTATTTATAATCGCGCGTTTGCTCATATTATTTTATTATCTTTTAACGATATCCAACCAATGGTAAGCGTCGTTATGTGCTGTTACGGATGTATGATCGTCGATGTGAAATTTTTCAACGATTTTCACGTCTCATTGTTTTAATTCCTTCTCTCTTTATTGGTCGATATCGCAATCGGATTGTAACCGTCAGCTAATCGCTGCATCAAAAAAGCAAAGTGATTTTATGCATCATGCTCTGTGCTAACTTTTTGCACAGTGAACGTTGACTGGAACGCGAAACGTTTGGCAGGTGTTTAATAAATAGGGGTAATTATGTTATTAAGTGTAAAATACGTGAAACGCGTTTAAGTATGAAAATACTGGCAATAATTAGTCGAGAAACGTTGTACTTAAAATGACAATTGAATATACATTTACTTCGTCCTTTTTATGTAAGAAAATACGTTAAATTGTTTATAATTAACGCATACAATGCGTTACGAGAACAGTGTCCAATGGTGGAATTTCATTGTGAAAATTGTGAGACTTAATCGATTAAATCTCTAGTCGTACGGCGAACAGCCCGACTGTATTATAATGAATCTATCTTCCGATTGATCGTACTCTGTTTAGGAAATAACGTTGAAAAATTATCTGTTTCGCCAACTCGTTGACTAGAGCGTTAACATCTCTTACTTATAGTTGTGTATTGTTTAAAACAAACGAAACATGAATCCTGTAAAAATTGTTAATACCTAAAATAAATCTATTATATTTACATAACAACAAGTTTTATGTATCGCCTGAGACCTTGAAATTTTTCATTAAATTCTGAGCAAACCTAACTGCATTGCACTTGATATTCTTTTAGAAAGCTCTAACTAGAATTTTCTAGATACATCCTGTTAAGGTTATGTCAAAAATTTTAAAATGGTTATTAATAAATAAAATATTAAATAAAATCATAATGACATTATTAGTGTTATCTTTGTTAAGTTTTATCTTTGAGTTAATATTAGCAAGAGGAATTAGTAATGACAATAACAGGACTAAAACAACATTTAATCAGTGAAAATCATTTTCATGTGAATGAGAAGTTTATTAAACAAAAGTTTGATGTCAATATACGTGTTGTAAAATAAATTACTACTGGAGCGTAATAATAATAAATTAATATTCTATATCAATTTTCAACTTTCATAGATATAAATGTAAGATTGGAAATCAGCCTTAAAAAAATGTTAAAAGTGTTTGGAACATAGGATGAAAGTGACTGTCTACAAATATTTATGACAAAGTCGAATGCAAGAAACGAGTGACAGATTACGAATGCTTTCTGGGTGTTTGAAGTATAGTGCGTTCAAAAAAAGAAGGCACAGAGTGTTTACATCCTAACGGCTAATTAACCCTTTTCATTCGACGATTCTTTGACCAAAGAAAAATAGGAGTTCAAAGATTTTCTGTTACAAAGCTGACGATATTTTTCTGAGCAGTGAATAAGAAATCGTATGATAATTAACACGTAGAATTATTTAATTTCGATACCTCGCACACCGTTACATTATCTGAAATTTGACATATTTATGAATAACGAGCTTCGCAATTTTATCAAATGGCGACTGAAGAGCGCCTCTCGAGTGTAAAAGGTTAACTCCACTGACACTCTCTCGATTACAGCAGTGACCTCTATTGACCAAAAATTGACAAAGATCATCGGCTGACCATAGTGAAACCAAGTGAAATAGGATATGGCAGCATCGGCATTAGTTTTCTGTTTCTTAAAAGCTTCAAAGCCTACGCCAATGTCGACATGTTCTATCTCACTCGCTCTTGCTATCACCTGCCGATAATCTTCGTCACTATTTTCGGCCAATAGTGGTCAATGCCTGTCATCAAGGGAGTGTGTCAGTCAGCCATGAGGACGTAAACACGCTGTGCCATCTCTTCTCGAACGCACAATACCTGGCCCACCATCGATGTCACGTGGCAAATGCGTGATTGGAAGAAAGCCTGAACATGAAAGAAGACAGAGTGTAAAGGTTAAAATAAGGCTACGAGAATGCGAGCAGGACAATTTGAAGTCAGCAGAGTTTTAAATCAGAGATCTTACAGGTTAGTTGTAAGAAAGTTGTTAAAATAGTAAAAAGTCGAGTGAGGTTATGGTTAGTCAGAAATTTTACAAATTAGTTTGCAAATTACCATTCTATTATATTAATCCGTTATTCTATTAATGAAGCTTATTTTATTTTATTAAGTATTGCAATATTATTCTAATCTGTCCCTCCCAAATACGACTCTAGTTAAATAAAGTTTCATTTTCATTTATATTTGCATGCAAGTGTACACAATAAGAAAAGAAATTTTAGTAAATAATTTTACTGTCACCTATATATTAAAACCTATATATTTAAGTTACTTCTTTTATTACCTATCAAAACACATAAGAATATTATAAACACTAACAGTGCATCTCAAACAAATCATCTATATACAAACTTCGCCAATGAAATAGGTTATTAAATACAAGTGACATACAATTCCCCACGCAATTTCAAAATTCTCCAAAATAACGTTCATAAATGAGCCATTCACTGTATAAATCGATTAACTCCACTTTATGAAAAATCTTAAATTTAAGTGTCAAAGCACTCGGTATAGTCATAACTTTTTATATTAAATATTTTTCAAAAAGTAGAGTTAATCAATTTGTGCAGTGAATGGCTCAAATAACAAAACTGTTGAAAAGACAAGTTTAATTGTATACAAAAATCAATTTAGACTACAAGATCTAAATAAATAATTTACAAGATCCAAATTCCGAGAACGAATGTTTATATAAACATTCTCGCGTCACGTATCCTCTTGATACTCTCTCGCGAATCGATCAGTCTCTCTAAAGAAGCACTCAAAGACAGATATACCTCCTCGAGTAACAACAGACTTTAATAGAGAATATATATATATCGTATTTATTTTACAACTAAAACTCATAATCCCAATAAATACAAATCTTAAAAAAATCCCATGAAAATTCTCCCATTCGATACAGCATAAAGATGCAATTATCAAAAATCAACATCGAATCCGTCTAACATAAACTGAACAGCGTGAACGCGGCAACGAAACACAAGCGTCTCGCACCGACCCGAACATCGTCCGAGTGAAACGAGTCTCCCTCCCCGCGATCGACACCGATACGTTTCAAAAACCGTGACACTGCACACATGGAGAAGAGCACAAATTGCAGAAACAACTTGGCGCAGTTCTAGAACAACAAAACGTGGTGGGACGTTTGCGGAGAGGACACGAGACACGACAAGCATGACAACAGCCGGATGCAAGCATGGTTTTAGCAAACTCACGAAACAGGGTCCAGCGAAACTCGTGGTCCGGGTTAAAGCAGCCTGATGGTAATTGACACTCGAATGAACCGGTGTAAAGGCTGGTGAATTGGCCACTGGTCGCACGGTTTGGACGTCAGTCAGCGTCGGGACGGAGGCTGGTCGAGTGGAGAAACGTCTGGACTAACGAGCGGAGGTCGATCAGAAGGACCAGAGGGCGTCGGCGCTGTTACAATGCGACGCAGTCGCATCTGGACCAACCACGGGTCGACGTAAGAGCGAGAGGCGAGCAGCGAGAGAGAAGGAGCGAGTGTACCGCTCCCGAGTCAGATGACGTCGGGGCTGCCAGCATTTACCCTCGGCAGTAGCGTCGCGATCGTACGCGCCTGGATCCTCTATCGGTGTTTCGGGGTGAGATCCATCGGAGGAGTCGCGGAAACTGCGAGAGTTGGCACGTGAGATTGGTACATCGATTTTCCGCGTTCGCAGCCGCCTTTAGAGCAGTCGAAACATCGTTACCTTCCCTGTGCACAGTCTCGATCACTGTGTCCCCGATCCCGGAGGATCCCTGGTGCTCGTGAATCGAACAACTCGGGCAGAGAGTGGAAGGACGAGAGGTTAAACGACCCAGTGCCGAGGACCGTGAACCACCTGTGAATCGATGTATACAGAAGAACAGAGATACATTGGGTAGAGATTGATCTGACTGGAGATCAGGCTCTGGCTTTTGTCTCGGGAGCGCTGCTCGCATTTTTGCGCTTCGTTTCCCGCCCTTGTTCTCCTCGAGTAAGCGTCAACAGGGAGCAGGAGAATCAACAGGACCCAGCAACCGCCTATCCCTTTCACAGAGGCTGTTTACATCACTCGCACTGGTAATATGGCAAGTAACGTAATAGACGACTAGTTAACAGTAATTCATAAGCTCGACCATCAGCATGCGTAGTGCCTAGATCGAAACGATAAATTTTTCCGTGATTTCGTCCATCATGGCGAGGAAGCGTGACAGAAAGCTGTGCACGACTTCGGTGATTTCAATTTTCGCGATTTATTTTCCAATCGGGACGAGTACACTTGTTACGCGACTCGTAATTAATCGAGCACGTTCTGGACCGAATTTTATTAGTTTATTTTAGTTTCCGGAATTAATTAGTACCCCGTGATATCAATTAACGTATAGTTCTCGCGAGACGCTATTATCGAGCGGAGAATTTCGTCGTGGTGTTTGATCCCGATCGGTAACGACGTTCCACCACGGATAATACATTAACCGAGATAGTCTGCCGTCGAAACGGGCGGTTCAAACAGGTTTCAGTGCGTCGGGGGATATCTGCTTCGCAGTAATTTCCGTGTCCCCTTTCGGCAACGTCCATTGTCCGTCATCGAGTTATAATTGCATCCCCAGAGTGAAACGAGGATTCTAAAGACCCTTTCTTTGTCCATCTTTCAACGTTGATCTGACCTAAATAAGTCAATCTGCGCTTTGCCTCCCCGCCCTCGCAAATTCTCCTCGCGATTACCGCTTTTTATCGCTGGATCTTGTCACGACGCTGCGTCCCGGCTTGCTGGATTTCATCGATCGTTCGATTAATCGTCCGTCCAACCTCCCCCCGCTGTTTCTTCGATCTTTTGTTACCGTGTTCCAAACTTCCGAGATTGGCGCGTTTAACCCCTCGAGTCGGGTTCAGACGCGACGGTATTTTCATCTTCGCGAGTGGTTCACGGAGGGTATGTGTGCGCGTGGTTTTTAAAACTCGTTTCGATGCTGCAGGTTTTTAGAGCAGATTGTTGCCATGTTCGAGCCGGGATGAACGGAGGTGTCGATATCGGAAAAGTGGAACGGGTGGAAATGAAACAGCGCGATCGTATTAATTAAAAGTAGCACGCTTGAGCGGCTCGCACGCTAGATGTCGCGCTGTTGCAAAACGTTTTTAGGTTATGTTTCGGTGTTGCATAGCGGCAGATAAAATCGGACGGTGTTCGTTTCGAAATAATTCACAGGAGTGGCATTGTTTTTGCAGATTGATGACTATTTGATGTCTTGAAAACGATCGGCATGAAGTACTTGAAAGTCGTTCTATTCACATTCAACTTATTGATATGGGTAAAGTATTAATCGTTTGGTTATTGGTTATATGGTTTGAGAATATATCGAGCAGATTTTCCAGTTATTACGAGAATTTTCGTACGATTTGATATAAATGAGGATTCGAAAGTATTTTTCTCGCGCAGAAAATAGGAGCGACTTGGTAATTTATAAAGAGCCTCGGCATTTTCTGATAAAGCGTAAACAAGGAATATACACACGCTGTGACTAATAATAAACTGCTCGTGTATCAATAAAGTCAATCACCTAGAAAGTTCAATAACAGTAAATAAACCGGTGTGATGTGAATTACAAGAAAAATTGAACGACTTGCAAGAAGTTAGTTTTAACGTAATTGTCGCTGTAATTATTAATAGATGGGTAGAATATAAATAGGAATTGTATGTTCTTAAAGAGACAAAAGAGATGATATTTACATTGAAACTAGCGTTGATTTTATATATCATTGTGTCATAGCGAAACTTTTTTATTATAAACTAAGTAGAATTTTTAATTTATACCGTACTGTGCAAAAGTTTCAGACCATTTATCGATGAAAAATGCTTTGCTGCTTCCTAAATGAATTTAAAGATATTTTGGTACTATTTTCATTCCCAATATTTTTTGAAATTTCTCCCATTATTTAATTTTCTCGAATATTGAAGAGTATTAATTAATTCAAAATGTGCTGCAAATTGATCCATGTTTTGTTGTTTTAATAGCAATAAAGGCAACAATATTGTAAAGTAATTTTTTACACAAGTTATTTAGTAAACGAAAAATATTTGTCTCTAATTTATGATTTATAACAATATTTTATACTGAGATATTTTAGAAAAGAATTACTGTATAATTAAGTATAATTGCTGCATAATAAAATGGGAAATAGCTATGGGACTTTCTATAAGACACTTACAAATTTTGACAGCTGCCACTTAAAAATTTTGGTGATCGCCATATGAGATTATATAACACTATTAAAAATTACTATGGCTTCCAATATAAAATGGTTAAAAATTTTGGCAATCCTTGTATACGGAGGTAAAAATTTTTAACGATATTTCTAGGAGGCAATAAAAAATTTGTTAAATTCCTCAGATATTAGTAAAAAATTTTAATAATCTTCTCTGTAAAATAGCTAAAAATCGTGATGATCATTATATAGCACAGTCAAAAATTTTGGTAATCCCTGTATAAAACTATAAAAAATTGCAATGACCCAGTCTATAAGACGTTCAAAAATTTTGAAAACTCTCACATATTAGTCTAAAATTTTTATGAGTTAATAACTCGATAAAAAATTGCAATGGCTCCCCATAAATGGCAGTCAAAATTTTTTGTAAGTACACGTGTAACGCAGCAAAAAAATTTGGCAAACCTAAAATAACATAGTAAAAGGACCCAAGACCTTTAAAATTTGCACCACTCCCATATTTATAATTACAAGGAAAGATATCATAATTTTAAAAAATAGTTTACTCGTTAATTGAATGCCTCAACATAAGTGTTTCATATTTATTAAAAAATCTTTGAAGAACAATATTTCGAAATTGAACATATTGGTATCCACCATATAACAAGATGAAAAATTCGACACTCGTATAATACGATAGAAAGTCCACAATTTCCATAAACAGTATTATTAAACACAATAATCCCATTTCTATAACAATATGCGAAAATTTGTTCGAATTTGAATAACACGATTAAATAAGTACAATCGTAATATCCAACAGTTGTACCATAAGCTGTACTTAATTCTACTTGCTAGATACCGATGCAAGTGTCCCAAAACTTTTGCACAGTACTGTACATAGACATAGTCTCACTGCATAAACATCTTTGAAATTTTTCCTTACATAGATGTCGCTTTTATCTCAGAAATTTTTTCCAACATATACTTCATAATTATAACCATAACGATATAGATGTTATTTATAAAGAATTCCTGGATGAAAGAATTATTTATAAATTACAAGCAACTTTAATGAAAAGCAGCTTCTCCTATAAAGCGCATTAATTATTTAGAAACAATCGAGAAAATATTCAAAGTTATGGAGAATATTCGTCTGTCGAGAGCTTTGTATACAGCGAATAGTACCTTGTGAATAGTAAATTAGAGACCGTTTGCAAAGAAGATCTCGCGTGGATTATCAAATGCGAGAAAACAGTTGTAAATAACGTTGGTAAACAGCGAAGTTAAACTCTGTATAAGTGAGAACCCTCTTCCTAAAGCTTTTTACAATTCTGCGACAATTAAACACCATTAGTTAGATGCATTGTCGTTAAAATATACAGGGTACTTCACGTAACTGGATCGAGATGCAACGTTGAATCGATGAAAGGAACAAAAGAGAAGAAACCAGACGATGATCTGTTTTTAAAACCTCTACCTCTTTCTTCCTACTCGAATATACGTTGTACACGTGAACGTGGTTATGAATTATGGTTGCTCTTTCCGTCAAACTGCTCTCTGGTATAGCAACTCGCGAAAGAAGCAGTAAATTACAAGTTGCTAGTTTAATGGGCGCTTATGCCATAACTTGGTTCGGTAATGGATTCAACGGTTAATTTGAAAAGTGTTTCATACTCGAGTACATTAATCAATTTAACTCTCAACTTTAGCAAACTTTGAATTACGGTAAAATGCTCTTAACCAACAATCTTCAGTTGCATGTACTCTGTACGCGTTCTGGGTACATGTTTATCCTCAGAGAGTCTCGGGAGACCAGAAAATGAATCATTTTAAAGATTCGACGAGGAGAAATCATGGATCAAATTTTGATTCGTGTCGTCGTGAAGTTTAACCTTCGAGTGGTGATTGCTATTTTCATGGCACTACTGATAATAAGACGTCAAATTGACTCCATATTGTAGGATGGCGAGACTGGTCTTGAGACACCGATAATTAACGAAAGAACAAGAACGCAATAACACATACTCAAAACTCGTAAACTGATTTAACTTAGGGAAAGAACACCAAGATAACGAAAACACGCAAAATAGTTAAAAATTTTGGCAATCCTTGTATACGGAGGTAAAAATTTTTAACGATATTTCTAGGAGGCAATAAAAAATTTTTTAAATTCCTCAGATATTAGTAAAAAACTTTAATAATCTTCTCTGTAAAATAGCTAAAAATCGTGATGATCATTATATAGCACAATCAAAAATTTTGGTAATCCCTGTATAAAACTATATAAAATTGCAATGACCCAGTCTATAAGACGTTCAAAAATTTTGAAAACTCTCACATATTAGTCTAAAATTTTTATGAGTTAATAACTCGATAAAAAATTGCAATGGCTCCCCATAAATGGCGGTCAAAAATTTTTGTAAGTACACGTGTAACGCAGCAAAAAAATTTGGCAAACCTAAAATAACATAGTAAAAGGACCCAAGACGTTTAAAATTTGCACCACTCCCATATTTATAATTACAAGGAAAGATATCATAATTTTAAAAAATAGTTTACTCGTTAATTGAATGCCTCAACATAAGTGTTTCATATTTATTAAAAAATCTTTGAAGAACAATATTTCGAAATTGAACATATTGGTATCCACCATATAACAAGATGAAAAATTCGACACTCGTATAATACGATAGAAAGTCCACAATTTCCATAAACAGTATTATTAAACACAATAATCCCATTTCTATAACAATATGCGAAAATTTGTTCGAATTTGAATAACACGATTAAATAAGTACAATCGTAATATCCAACAGTTGTACCATAAGCTGTACTTAATTCTACTTGCTAGATACCGATGCAAGTGTCCCAAAACTTTTGCACAGTACTGTACATAGACATAGTCTCACTGCATAAACATCTTTGAAATTTTTCCTTACATAGATGTCGCTTTTATCTCAGAAATTTTTTCCAACATATACTTCATAATTATAACCATAACGATATAGATGTTATTTATAAAGAATTCCTGGATGAAAGAATTATTTATAAATTACAAGCAACTTTAATGAAAAGCAGCTTCTCCTATAAAGCGCATTAATTATTTAGAAACAATCGAGAAAATATTCAAAGTTATGGAGAATATTCGTCTGTCGAGAGCTTTGTATACAGCGAATAGTACCTTGTGAATAGTAAATTAGAGACCGTTTGCAAAGAAGATCTCGCGTGGATTATCAAATGCGAGAAAACAGTTGTAAATAACGTTGGTAAACAGCGAAGTTAAACTCTGTATAAGTGAGAACCCTCTTCCTAAAGCTTTTTACAATTCTGCGACAATTAAACACCATTAGTTAGATGCATTGTCGTTAAAATATACAGGGTACTTCACGTAACTGGATCGAGATGCAACGTTGAATCGATGAAAGGAACAAAAGAGAAGAAACCAGACGATGATCTGTTTTTAAAACCTCTACCTCTTTCTTCCTACTCGAATATACGTTGTACACGTGAACGTGGTTATGAATTATGGTTGCTCTTTCCGTCAAACTGCTCTCTGGTATAGCAACTCGCGAAAGAAGCAGTAAATTACAAGTTGCTAGTTTAATGGGCGCTTATGCCATAACTTGGTTCGGTAATGGATTCAACGGTTAATTTGAAAAGTGTTTCATACTCGAGTACATTAATCAATTTAACTCTCAACTTTAGCAAACTTTGAATTACGGTAAAATGCTCTTAACCAACAATCTTCAGTTGCATGTACTCTGTACGCGTTCTGGGTACATGTTTATCCTCAGAGAGTCTCGGGAGACCAGAAAATGAATCATTTTAAAGATTCGACGAGGAGAAATCATGGATCAAATTTTGATTCGTGTCGTCGTGAAGTTTAACCTTCGAGTGGTGATTGCTATTTTCATGGCACTACTGATAATAAGACGTCAAATTGACTCCATATTGTAGGATGGCGAGACTGGTCTTGAGACACCGATAATTAACGAAAGAACAAGAACACAATAACACATACTCAAAACTCGTAAACTGATTTAACTTAGGGAGAGAACACCAAGATAACGAAAACACGCAAAGACGCACTCTTTTAAAACTCTCTTTCTAACACCAAGCGACTCACGCTTGTGCTGGTCACAACCGATTTCATAGGACTCTGTTTTGGTTGTCAAGGACCACGCTTTTATGCTTTCCTTAACCTACGCTTCACCTCCCCGTAGAGGAGTCGCGCAACTTAATTTTGTTATATAGAATAACTTTTCGATTTGCTTCTAGAAGATATCGATCGGTTTACGATTTGCTTTCGTTGGCAATAGCCGATTCGCGATTCCTTTTGCTATCCTACAATATTAACCCTTTGCACTCGACGATTTTTTGGCTAGAGAAGAATAGAAATTCAAAGATTTTCTACTAAAAAATTGACGATACTTTTTTCCGCAGTAAATAAAGAATTATAGTATAATAATAGAATTGTAGAATTATTTGACTTCGATATTTCGCACACTGTTGCATTACATTAAATTTGATATATTAATTAATATCGATCTTCCAAATTTTATGAAATGATAACTGAGGGTCATCTCTTGAGTGCAAAGGGTTAATAAAGGGATACTTTTGATGGGTAAATATAAGGAATAAGAGATATTACTTTATTCCAATATATACAGGGTGTCCCAAAAAATGTATACACGCTTTGCGTGATTATAAAAACAGTATATATTTTACTGTTTAATAAAACTATCTTTGCACTTGCAGTATGTTTTCACACTTATGGTAGCACTTTAAAATATATTTACGTTGTTCAAAGTATAGTCTAAAATCAGCCATTATTTTAAATGGGTTGCACCTAGAAAAGAAGAAATAAATTAGGAAGAATAAGGTATTACAGTGTGTATACGTACTTTTGGGACACCATGTATTTATTACGAGTTACATGAGTCTTAGGAGTAAGGTATAAACTAAAAGACTAGACTAACTGATATGATATGATCACGCAACTAACACTCTCATATCGACTCTTCTGCAAATTCCGTAAAAGACTGTCTTAAGACAGCCCTTGCTCCCCTATTAGGCTTATTTTGAGCGAAAAAGATTACACGTCCTTGTGAAAGCATTTGATTTTGTTTATTTTATAAATATGCATTTCCCAATTGTAAACATAAGATAAATTTTTAATTTTGTAGTTTATCATGGTATGATATCTATGAAATCTTGCTTCCTTCGAAGACCCCCCCGAGGTTTTATGGTGCCCATAAGAATTATTGAGGCCCAGACTGACTAAGTCCGAAGGATGGTAATAAAATGCTGTAATAAAATTTTTGAATTTAGCTTAAAACGATTAATTTTCTAACATTATTATTAGAAAATCAATTTGATTTTGAGTTACTACTATCGTAATGACACGGAGTCAATCTGACACCCAGTCATCATTATCAATAGGGAGTTAAATTGATATGCATCACCGCTCTAAGATTAAACAAACTTCTTCAAAAAATTTCAATTTTTACTTACAACGTAAAAATTACATAAATTACTTCGTTAACACGTTGAATGCACAGCTTCTTTCGTCTTGCTTGCAGTTTAACCCACTGTATCAGATATTTGTTTCATGTTTGAAGAAATATTTAGATACGTTCGTGATATCATCTCTAAATTATTTAAAATTTATTAATACACTGTATTTTTAGCAATATTTTAATTGTCAGTCAACATACTCTATTGTCCTGTGCGAAAAGTATACCGTTGACAGCCCTTGGTGACTGTCACGGTCTAGACGGAAAGGTCAGTGTTAGTACCGATGACTGACATGACGCTTAATGCGTTGAAGGTATACTGTTTCGTCCAGTTTTAACAAAAATCTAATCAGCTTTTGTGATTGAACACGTGAACCTAACCACACGCTGCCAAATATAGAATTGTATAATTCGGAACAGGTTAATTCTGAGATCAGTGTAGTGTCTCTCTTCCCAGTTACATAAAGAACCTTGTATAATACTCATGGTGGAGCTAAATAAAAAGAAATTACTCGATAGTTGGCCGGGTGTACAGTACTGATGATAGGAGTATGTCTGCTGTTGGAATCAAGCAAAGGGCACCTGTTAAATCTTTTCGTGCCCGACGCGGCGCCGCACGAAACCATTAACCGGGTAGCTTACAGCTTGCTTGGCCTCGGTTTCACGGTGTTGACGGTTGGTTTCTTCGGATGTCGAGCTGCTGTTCACGGGAACCAATGCATACTGGCCACCGTAAGTCGTCGAAAGCTTTTTATCCCGGATCTAAAATAATCAAGCACAGGGCCATGGTTCACTCTGCATTTTGATCCCCAGTATATGAGCATGCTCGTGGCACTGATCGTCACAGAGCTCGTGACAGCAGCTGTCGGTGGACTAATGACGTTCCGGATACTTTCCGGATTAGAGGAGCGACTGATCAGCAAGCTGGCCGATGACTATGGCGACGAACCGACCAGCGACATCCCCTTCAGCCATAGTCTCGACTTTGCGCAGTACAAGGTACAACAGTCTGCTTAATAACTGCGATCGATTGTTTAATCTCGGAGTTAGATAACCGTGCGCGGTTATGGGGTAAATAGAGGACGTCGAACGAATGGGGCACTGTGCGATTAATCCGTAATTATGGCTATAATTGCTGTTTAATTGCTCCGCGACAACGTCTGCAATTCTAACGAGACCTCGGGTCTTTCTTATAGGGTGTCGCAAAATTCACTCGAGATTTGAATTTCGCGCCATTTCTGCGGCAGTGTTGGCAACGAAAAACAGCGTGACTGCTGACAGTTCAGGGTTATTAACAGTTTGAGTCCCAGAGGCTTTTGGAAGAACACGGTCGAAAAACCCAGAAAATCATGATAACGCTTACCTTAATCGAGTGCGAAAAAGTCTAAATGGCGCGATAGACGACAGTCATGACTCGCGGAATATTCCGCGCTCGGTGATAGACGATTGTCGTGGCTCGCGGCATATTCCGCGCTCGGTGATAGACGACAGTCCTGACTCGCGGAATATTCCGCGCTTGGATGCAAATGTGTTAATTTTATGTCGAAAAATCCCAATCGCCGCGATAGCGCTTGTTGGTGCTATGTGACGTAAGTACGTGCTTCGGCAAAGTTGAGCGCGCCTCTTCGACTGAAGAGGGCGACACTAACTTGGGACACAAACGGTTAAAAATGGCGCGTATGAGAGAACAACGCGTCTTCATATTTGAGCGATATTTACAATTTTTAATTAGAAAGCTTTGTTTTCCACGAAGAATTACTTCCTGCGTGAACTTTTCGACACCCTATACGTATACGTTTTGCATCCATGTACAGGGTGTTATTGAATGTGTTGTACAAGCTGAAAAGATGCGAATGTACGTGAAAAGGCAAGTGGAAAATGTAGAGTGACATTTCTTCTTGTACATCCCTTTTCGACTTGTAGCAGCAATTAGATAACGCCTTGTACAATGGTTCGTATATGGCACAGTTGCCTTTTGTCTGTGCTTCGCTATTGCTTTCATCTTATGCAAATGTTTCGGACATACATTCGGACACGTCTACTCGAAGCTATAAGCTATAGTCGTGCACTCTTGTCCACGCCATTATCTTCAGTATTTGATATAAATTACGGGTCTGAAACACGATGTGTAGTTATGATGAGTTGAATCATAAGACAGAGAAGGAATACTGGTTTTCAGCCATCTTGGTATGCTAAAGTTTTAAATTAGACTACTTCTAATAATAATATATTTCATAAATATATTTCCGATCATAATTAATATTAACCATTTACATTCGAGAGGCGATTTTCAGTCACTATTTAATAAAATTTTGAAAATCGATATTAATTAGTATGTCAATATTAAAATAATATAGCAGTATAACAGTTATATGATTTTTTAAGGTATGGAAATAACATAATTTTACGTGTTAATTATTATACGATTTCTTATTTACTGCTTAAAAAGATATCGTCAACTTTATAGCAGAAAATCTTTGAATTTCTACTCTTCCCTAGCTATCTAAAAATCGTCGAGTGCAAAGAGTTAAGAGCCACCTATGGTGATAGCCACAAGTATGAAATTTTCATTCATTTTGATCACCATCATCCACTCACGCCATTTTAATTTAGGTTTATACTTTACCTCTAATCATAGATTTAACAAAAAAATCAAAGTATAAATGAATTAAAACTTCGAACACACCTCTACAAGTAACCATAACCTCTTCGTATAACAAACCAGACATCAGATAAATTGCGCTAGAATTAAATTTGAAAATTAACTATAAATACTTCGTCAAGGTTTCAGTTTAGTAAAACTGGATGTCATAGTAATTATAAATAACCAAAGATATTTACATGAATTAGCAATAATCAAGAACACTTTCTTCAAACAACGCTGAAACACTCCATTATTAGTAACTGAATTGACAGCCAGAGCGCGCAACTGTGTTAGCATACCAAGATGGCCGGGTTTCTTTCATTCTCCACTAAAAAGTCTTCTGTTTTAGATGCATGATCCAAATACTGTTTCTCTACACCTATACCAAATATTCCTCGACCAATTAGACACTTTTCATTGGTTTCTCGCGAATATAATCTCCCATTTATTTCCACGCTATCGCCGCAATGTTTCGCGAATTTGATCGATCGTTTCGACTCGATTTCACGCGCGGCAATTTCAAAGGCCATTTCCACGATTGTGTTTCGCATCTTTCTGAACGGAAGAAGATCAGAAAACTGCACAATGCAAATTTTATTTCGCGCCTGAGGGACGCCTAATACCCGACATGGTATATCCATCGAGGCATATTACGATGGTCCAAAGAGCATACGAGTGATTCCATTGCAGTTTAATTGCTGCGGAATACATGGATACGAGGACTACAATGGCACAGCCTGGTGGAGGGACAAGCAGATTTCGGGGAGCAGGAAGCAGGTCCCTCTCACGTGCTGCATTTTAAGAAATACAGAGGTACTGGAAACCGATTTATTTTCAGAATATAATTGCACGTTCCCTTTGTATCTCGCTTCGCGCCATTTCAAATATCGTCAAACGTTGAAAGTGTACTTTCGAAATCCATTTAAAACGAATGTCTTTCCTATTGTTGTTTTGATTTATACGTTTTTAACGTCCACACCGACATTGTTTAATATCCAGGAGACCCATATAGTTGGCATAAAATTCTTTCACCTATTTGACCTACGTCACACGTAGTATGTATTCGATTCCAACCTTTTTCAACACTATCTGCTCTTAGATTTTTAACTTCTAAGTAGTTAGAAGACACTGATTCTGATAATCAAATCTGTAATTACAAGATTTAATCGCCATAATGTCATCGAATCATCGAATTTGATGGGGAATCTGGTTACCAAGTTATGTTAACGTCAAAATCAATACATATACTGAGGCTGTACCAATATTTGGAATGATAGTTTGTGGGACCAGAGCTTGGTCTGCTTCTAATGTAAATTTGGCATCAAAATATAGACTGTAGGACTTGATAGAAAAATCGATCTAGAGCAGTGATAGATGGAGATGATTTTAAATAAACTTTATAGAAATTCGATGGTAAATTGATATTACGTTATAACCAAATTATTTATTAGGTCTGTTATTTAGAAAGTTAAAGGCTTGCACGCAATTCATCAGGATGAATTTATCAAAATTTATATTTAAATTTAAAAATATTTAAAGATTTACGACACTATCAGTGAGGATTGATATTTTTGACAGGTTAGATTCAACATTTTGTTTGAGTGTCGATACTTGGGTAATACTGTATGAGTTTGGTATGTTAGCAGGAAGGATAGTACAAAAGCAAGAGGAACACTGTGTTCTCTTTGACCATCTCTGATGCTCTTGAAATCCATACTTTTGACAGCACAGTCTGATGTACTTAAATAGTTAATATTGATCTCATGTTCATGCCAGTGTTTTGTTGCTCTCTTTCATTTGATCCCCGCGTTTCCTGTTCTCTCTCTTTGTTACGTGCTACAATAGAACGCTATTCGTAGATGTGACACTTCCAGCTAATAACGAGAATTCGTGTACTTTATTTTTATCATTGTGTTTGGGAAGATAGAGGTGATACATTATGATTAGTTAGACTCACGTACCTTTTAACTCGCCAGACTCATACAGCATTTGACACAAAATTCACTCGTTAGATTTATATTCACCTTCCCATGTTATTAATTTGCATAAATCCTAATAATAACTTATTCTGTCACAATGGACAGGAAATATGTCAAGTAAGGATGACCTGGACGTATTTAAATACCTTTTATTTCAAAAATAATAAATTTTAATTGCCCATGATACACGGATTAAGAGAAAGTATAAATATAAGATTTATCGTTGACAAGTATTATTATTATAAAATGAAACAAAGTCGTATTGCTTCAGACTTCATCTTTGTTATAAATAATCGTGCTGAAATAATCAGTCGAGATACGTGACGTTTGTTTTGCTTCGCAGGCAACAGATACAGGAAGTCCAATGAGTGTCGTGTCAAGAGTGTTTCATAAACATGTAAGTAATTAGATTTATGCGCAATTTCGTTTGCGTTACGTTCATTAAACGTTTATTTCATCGTGGAAAAGACCGAGAAACCGTGGTTAAATCCGAAACCAAAGGACGAAGCAGCATGTCAAGTGGAAGACAAAGAAGGACACGATGGATATCGGCATAAAGAGGTACAGTTACACGCATACTACGATTAAATTATTTTACAATAGGTAGATTGCTCGATTTAATGAAAGTTAAAGGAATTATACTCTCGCATATCGTAATTTATAATTTTAATTTCAGCTTTTACGTTTAAATTGTATTATTTGTTTCATGAAATTACGACAAATCGTGTAATTGCAATCAGATAATTACAATTGAAGTAGTCAAAACGGTATAAAATCAGGAAGAAGAAAAAGCAAAAATATTTCTCTTTCTCTTTTTCGTGATTTTATACTGTTTTGACTACTTTAATTATAATATGTTAGCATAATTTATATTATGCATGCAACTTGGCGTAAGAAATTAACGCGACACATTCAAACGTGGCTACGTAAACTGCGCATGCTCGAAAGTGTAATATTCGTAACAAAATGGGCACTTTTCATAACGTTGCAGAATCTGGAGCAAAATGAAACATTTAAGACTTAGCGACACAAAAAGTCATAAAAATAATAGAAACCTGCATAGTTTTTGCGATTTTATTTTTGAAGAGCCATTGAATAATAGTCCTGCTGCTTTTGGATTTCATGAAATACTTCTCCCAAACGTTTTTACAATCTTTTCATTTAATCCCATTAGGAGATTTCGAGAGTAAGCTAAAGAATGAATAAATCTGAAAAGATTAAATGTTTTACTGAATATGATTTAAAATAAGGGCAAAGAATTTAAACAGAAGACTTGAATTTGAAAATATGTAGAATTAAAGAGGAGCTAAAATGTACTTAAAAAAAGAAGAAATATCACGTTAAATACTATAAAGAATTATGAAAAGAAGTATGAAAATATTTATTAACCTAATCACATATCAAATTTTATTTTGTTCCTCACACTTTGCCTCCCTCACCTCCCTCACATAACCTTACCTACCCCAACCCTCTAGAGATCTATAAATTTTATATACTATTTGTAGGTTAGAATAATAACTGTTAACATGGTAAGGTAAAATTAATTTAATCATCTATAACCAGAATTTTCGTCAATAACAAATCGAAGTTATTATAATTACCCAAGCTTCTTATTTTAGTTTGATTTAAAATTGTATTGAATATGATGTTATAAAAGTATATTACTTCCAAGATAAATATACTTTCGTATAATCTAAACGATGTGTCTAAAACACTATCATCTGCACACATGAATGTTACTTAAATACTTAACTTCTTAAATAACAATTTTATTGTCAAGATTTTAAGTAAGAACACTGAAGACTTTACCAACAACTAATTCCGCAAATGGTGGTACTTAGATACCTTTCGTGAAGTTTTTAATTATTACAGTAACCGCTAGATGACACTAGCGCTAACAGGTTTGACTACCTTTGTTGAAAGCTATGTATAAGGCAGGCAGGATCTTATTTCTTCATTTTATCTTAATTCATTTCCTATCTTAGACTAAAGAAACATTTCACAACTATCATTTTATAAAAGTATCCTGTTATGGTACAATTCTTTCTTTGAAATACCAGAATCTTTCTTCTATAAATATCTTACATTATTCGTCAGTATTAATTGCATATATAAAACAATATTTCATTTTGACACATTCTTTTCATTTTCTTTCTAGTATCTGCAACTTACACGCAATGGCCCCTTAAATTTAGTGAAATAAAATAATGTTTTGCAAAATTAATTAATCGAATATATTTGATGATAGCTATTTCTTAAATTCTCCTACATTCATGGCAATTACATAACTATCGTAATATATCGAAGTAAAATAATAATTTGTAAAATTAATTTATTACTATTGGAGTAAAATAATAATTTGCAAAATTAATTTATTACTATTGGAGTAAAATAATAATTTACAAAATTAATTAATCGAATATATAATAACAGCTATTTTTTAAATCTTCTTGCGTTCGTGACAATTATGTAATTATCATAATATATTGGAATGAAATAATAATTTGTAAAATTAATTAATCAAATGTATCTGATAACAATAATTTTTTTAATTTTCCTGCATTCATGACAATTACGTAACTATCGAAATACATCGAATATAGATACAATGATGTATATTGGAACTCTATAGTATGTTTCCAGTGTTGTTACGTTCGAAAGTAACGTCCATCGATCTTACTTGATACGAAGGGGTCATTGACAACTGGTGAATGCTTGCTTCTTACGTTTTGCATATTTATGAGATTCTTACATGCATCGGGCGGGGAAAAAATGAATTTATTGAATTACTAAATCGAGGTTTGAACTGGGACACTTCACTTGCCAAATGAATCACTTTTAATTAATTAAATTATCGAAATCGCTGACGACTCTTTTATCCCGATCAAAAATGGCTACCGATTTTCATCCAATTTGCTGAATAAAAACCGAACGTGAAAAGAAATATAGAAAAATACAGGCGTAATTTGATTTGTTAAAATTTCGAGGGAAACGAATTTATACTCGTCAATTCACATCTGTGTGCTTTAAAGCTATTTTGATCAATGATATTATCCATGATGTTAATAAATATTTAAATTTAAACATTTATCATTTCGTTTTAAATTTTTGTCATTCTTAGAAGCATCTTTTTATTTTTCTTACTGAAACTGAAATTTTTAAATGTTTCGAGGGTGATGAGAAACGTGTATTTAATTCTAAAACAAATAGAAAAGCGATTTTCACAATGTATTATGTCCTTTTTTAAATAATTTTTTGAATAATTTAATATCTCCAATTATAAATGGATTTGCAATATGTTTTAATTCACTATAGTCCTTTGTGGTTTCGAAGTGTGTATGAGTATTTTCAAAAATTGGTTTCAGTTCTCATTATATTATTTTAATTTATCGTGATATTAGTATAATAATATCAAACAGTCTACCTTTGCCGATTTTGATCCATAATGGGAGAAAATATTGTTTAGTAATATTTATATGCAAAAATACAAAAATATGAAAATATATAAAAGAATATAAATATTTTATAAATAGTTAAAATGCAAAAAATATCCATATATATTTATAAAATATATATATTCTTTTTATTTACAAATCTTAGGCATTATTGTACTGGGAAAAGGTTAATAGCAATTATTGGATTCTAATTTACCAAACTAAAAATATTTTTACTGCTTCCAATTTATTTTCCTCATAAACAAAGAAACATCTGGTTATAGATGGTATTAAAAATCATTTCTATTATTTAATTTCTTCAGCTTATATCGTAAAATGTTTCTAGGGCTGTCTCGCCAAAATTACAAGTTGGTTGCAGTACGAGAGCTTCACCTTAGTATTCCTGGGTATGACAATGGCTGGTATACAAGTACGTTTCCAGTAGAGATTATGGCTTTGAACGTGCATCGAAGACACGTGTGTCACGTGTAATTAATATATCCGTATTTTACTCACTTGTACGTGTACACGTGATTGCAATTCACGTGTATTAACCCTTTGCACTCGAGAGGCGCTCTACAGTCGCCATTTAATAAAATTTCGAAGCTCGATAATCATTAACATATCAAAGTTTAAATAATGTAACGGTGTGTGAGGTATCGAAATCAAATAATTCTACGTGTTAATTATTACATGACTTCTTATTTACTGCTGAAAAAAAATATCGTCAGCTTTATAATAGAAAATGTTTGAGCCCTACTCTTCTTTAGCCAAAAATTCGTCGAGTGCAAAGGGTTAATCTATCCATGTTTTATTCCACGCGATTATTTATACCGAAATACTCGAATACTTAAATCCATTAACGCAAATAATTCGTAAAATAAATATACGATTTTCTAAATTGCAAGTAATAACAAAAAGCAACAAATTTTCTTAGAATTGTCCACACAAAATTCGTTCACAAATATACATCAATACAATACAACAATAACAATAAACCACCTGTGCAAGGTTTTCCAGCAACAGTAGTACAACCAGGAAGAGGGTAATTCTACATAGAAAAACGAATCGAAAAAGAAAAGGAATAAAATTTTTTCATTCGATTATTCAAATCGATGAAAATGATGAAAATCGACACCCTGTATACAACTACACTTTTCAAAATTCAGGTTTCATTAGATACAAAAACAATTTTAATAAAGATCAGATTGAAAATATTATCACGATCCTAATAGAAATCAAATTAATGACGCAAATGGTATAAATAAATTAGTATTAAATTAGTATAAATTAGTACAAATTATACTATATATATTACACTATATAAGTATAAATTATACTAATTATATAAATTAGTATAAATAAAATAGTATAAATAAACTGACAACTAACAATACACAAAATAATTGAGTTCGAGTTAGTTGAGTTTGAGTTGATTTATTGTAACTTAGCAAGTCATCTTTTATCTCAAATTCCTTACATAAGTATATCTAAGTATTCTGTTATATATCAATAACTATACGAAATACAATATGGATATGTCAATACGCATTTACTCACACGTATGCATTAAGAAATACACGGATATAGCAAGCACACGTATACACGCGTGTTTCAGATATACGTGAAACGGAATTTCCAGTTTCCTCAAAAGAACCTCCCTCTTAGATCCATGGAATCTGATCAAGCACTGTATGTTTCAGACATTCGGTATAATAACCTCAGCTTTCCTTTGTCGAACGATAAGGGACATGCAAATGGATTGAGTCGTGGATGCCAGATGCACAAAGCGGAAGAAAAAGCAAGTTCCAATACACGTTCGGTTTGCGAGGAAGTCAGAGCGTTGTTTCGATGTTTCAACCGTTCACAACCGACGATTCTTGCGATGAAGGCACTCGATCGAGGAAACAACGATTGCACAGTGGCTATAACCGGACATCGCGAGGAAAATTGTACGGGAATTTTCGTCAAGGGGCTTGAACATCACCGAGTCATCTGGCCAAAGGGATCCTCCTCATTTCTCAAGAACGCTCGATGGTTGCGAAACTTATCGTAGGATAGAAAGCTGTGCTTGCTCGAAACCTTCCAAACCATACCCGTCCCTTATGTGTGTTTCGTCGTAGGTTTATCTCGTGAGAAGGAAGAAAGAGGTCTATAAGATTCTGTAAATAAAGCGTTATCCTCTTCGTACACCGCGATTCTACCGTTTGCAAGTAGCACTTCTGGTACGACTCGTCGCGTTCTGGCTATGATCTAGCCACGCTCGACATACCGCAGTCATATATGTTTCATTACGGGTGGATCTGTAAATATGGATCTATAAATATGCGTAACAACGACGAGCAGATTCGTAGGATGAATCAACTTACTCGCGACACGATGCATGCGAATTTGTCGAGAGGTTATGTGATTTCTGTATGCACATTGGCAAACGTATATGTTCGAAACTACCTTGTGATCTTTTTAACGAGAAGAGTCGTACACTGTCGATGAGTAAATGCATGCGACATCGATGTATATGTGTGTGATAGGAGTTCGTAACCCGCGTAATAGCAGCTTAAGAAAAATCGACTCGTGTCCAGAAACAAAGATATGGAAAAAGTGACGTATGTATCCTCCGCCATATTGACCGCAACGTCGATAAGGAAGTGTATCTTTTTTATCTTCTTTTTATGTTCGCGAATAACGTTCAGAGGAAGGGAGAAAGAACGGGTATATTTGTTACAATAATTCGTGCCAAATAGATGATATATTGACAAGCGGATTTAACTTTGTTATATTTTTATTTTCCGATGAAATTTGTTGACAAATGTTTGGTGCGTTCGTAAGATAAGTATAGTAGGGAAATAATAAAAATCATTGTTCTCTGTACGTGGTATATTTATTTCTCACTTCACATTTTTGTTATAAATAAGAATAAAAGGTGAGTAGGATATGATAACATACAGGGTGTACCATTAACACACATCCAACTGTAGTGTCCTCATAGGGTATTTAATTATCTTCTAAACTACAGTTTGTTTCGAAAATGTTTCAAATGAAAGTTACTCAGTTTCGAGGGTGACTTTGAAAATTTACAAATTTACAAATTTGGATAGGAAATATCTTAAATTTAAAGCATAGCTCTTTGCTTGGTATCGCTTCCCAAAAATTATTCGTTGGAAAACGAAGTTTCGAGGGGGACTTTGAAAATTTACAAATTTACAAATTTGGATAGGAAATATCTTAAATTTGAAGCATAGCTCTTTGCTTGGTATCGCTTCCCAAAAATTATTCGTTGGAAAACGATACCAATTATCAGATCCCACCACGTAGAGGTGGTTATGCATAGGGACTCTAGCCTTAGGAGCCTCACAATGAACGCTTTACTGGCAGCCTTCTGTACCAAAGACACTCTTGTCTAACATAGAGCAAAAGCTATTCGCACTGTATCAGTGTCTTATAAAAGGGAATTCGAATCGGTATACTAAATTTTAATACTCAACTTCCGCAACGCTAACACTTTCCATTTCGAAAGACTCTAATGACTCTAAGTTCCCGTATAAATTGGGATTCAAGAAAAATATAGAAAATGCCAAGAAATAAAAATTAATACGAAAGAGGCTATACACGGCCGAAACTAACGAATTCGCGATTCGTCCTCGATACAAATCTACTACTCACTGTCAACCTGGACATGACTTACTCGAGAACGAAAATAGCAGGCGAACCGATAATACTTCCGCGGGTAATTCGAGGGCCCAGCGAGGCCTAATATTTTCTATAGCAATCTTATTTACTACAGAAAGGAAATAATTTGCAAAAGTGTAAAAATTATTACACTTATTTCTAATAATAAATTGGTCACAACGTACATTTATAATACAAGTGGAAATATTATTAAATTATAGGCTACTACTAGTATATATAACGCATTTGCGTGAAAATGCATCTATAACTAGCAAAAAGTTAACAAATTACTACATTTATTGTTAATAATAAATATTTGCAACGTATATTAACCATAAAAATAAAAAAAGTTAATAAATTATTAGCTACTACTTAAACAAACAACGTATTTATGTTAAAATGTATTTGTAACTTACAAAAAGCTGATAAATTAATAAATTTATTGTAAATAGCAAAACAAAATTGTTAATAAAAAATATTATGCAACGTACATTAACAATAAATGTAAAAAAAATTAATAAATTATTAGCTACTACTTAAACAAGCAACGTATTTGTATTAAAATTTATTCGTAACTTACAAGAAGCTAATAAACTAATAAATTTATTGTCAATAGCAAATTAAAATTGTTGTTAACAAATAGTTTGTAACATATATTAACGATAAAAGTCGAAAAAGTTAATAAAGTATTAGTTATTACACCGGAAATGTAACTTTTAAAGGAATCGGTAAAATTCGGAAATTTTCGTTAATCTTCGGCCGGCCGCCGCTATATAAGGGGCCCGCCTGAAGACTCGAGCCAGTTGTCGGATTGACTTCGGAGGGTCCGCGTTAATATTCTTTCTTTCTGTTTCAGGTTTTAATTATCTTTCTTCTTCCAGATTCTATTTCTTTTATTCTAGATTTCATTGTTTGAGCATTCACATGTTTTTGTGCAACATGCGAATGCTTCGTCGTTGGTTTATTTGTATACCATTGCTGGCTAGATCAATGGCTATTCAGTAGCCATTGTCCACACTCTTAAAGAATTTAACAATAATTTCTTCTTCCAGGTACTAATTATTTTTTGTTTCAGGTTTTAATTATCTTTCCTTTTTCAGATTTTATTTCATTCATTCTATTTGACTTTGTTTCAGCATTCGAGTATTTCGTACAATATTCGAGTGCTTCGTCGTTGGTATATTTGTATATCATCGTTGGCTATATCAATGGTTATTCAGTGGCCATTGTCCACTCTCTTAAATAATTTAACAATAATTTCTTCTTTTAGGTACTAATTATCTTTTCTTTCAGGTTCTAATTATTTTTCTTCTTCCAGTTTTTATTTCTTTCATTCTAGTTGTCTCTTTGTTCCAGCATTCGAGTATTTCGTATAATATTCGAATGCTTCGTCGTTGGTTTACTTATGTCTCATCGTTGGCTAAATCTTTCCTTTCACAAATTTTACGACTTCCGTTCGATTTGTTTTCGTTAGAGCGTTCGAGTATTTCGTATAATACTCGAGCGCTTCCTCGTTGGTATGTTTATATCTCACCGTTGGAATGTTTCTGTCTCGTAGTTATGTTGCTCAGGTCTCGTCGTTGGCTTGCTCGTTCCATTTCGTTATTATCCTTGATGGTTTCCTCGTACTAATCCCTTTCCTTTCAGCTACATATTAACAATAATATATTCTGTTTTAGCTTTTAGGTTTCTCAAGATTCTGTTTGCGACACATCAATGAACGATGCGTGCGTTTACTTTTAAGTAATCATAAGATAGATCCATAGACTAAGTATCATGTGCGCGCTATCTGTACAAAGGTAAGCTACCTAACTTGGAGCGAAATTTATAAATTCTCTATCATTTTCTTATCCCCCTCGTTTAGCAAATAGAACATAATTGTTCTCGCGATAATCGCGATCGTTCGTAAGTACCGACTAGCCTACGCGACGTGCTCTCGTGTACTCGATAAGTACATGCTTCGTAAGTCATCCTCACGACTCGTCTCCGACACTCATTTCCAGTCACTGTCAATCTCGTCATGCATCGGGTTCCAGGGTGACCCCCTCGGATCAGTGCGTCTTCTGACCTCGACGGGGCGGTCCGCTGCCTAAGTCGTACGCGACTGGGGCTCGGGCACATGCTGGCTGACGGACTAGTACCATCTACGGTTAGACCACAGGGATGATTAAGTTCTACCCCGTGTGGCTGGGATGCGAAGTGTCTGTCTTGGCCGGCAACCGCCCAGCAGGGCCCTCGCGTTGACACTAGAAGTTTCATTGGTTCAGGGACTATCCTTGGTCCACGTGTAAGTCTTGGCGAGTGCGACAGTGACTGGAATTGAGCTAGGCCCGATCGGGAGGGTGCCGAGGTATGAAGTTATCTCTGTACACGGGAGTACATCGCCTAGGCTAGTCGGTCTTTCGAATAATCGCGAACTCGTTCGGGCGCGTCGCGATTTTCTATTAGCTCGCGTGTTTGATATTTCATTCCCTATTTTTATGGGAACTTGAAAATATCTTAGCGTTGCGACAGTAGAGTTTCAGTATACCGAACCGAAACCCCTTTTGTAAGACACGAAATATAATAAAGTGTCAGTAGAGTCATTTTAACTTAATTCGCTCCAAGTTAGATTAGGGTACCTTTGATACAGGTAGCGCCAGCAGGCTGCGCCACTAGGGCGCATGTCGGGTCTCGATGCGTAGCCACCTCCACGTGGTGAGACCTGGTAATTGGTATCGTTTTCCAAAGAATAATTTTTGGGAATCGATACCAAGCTAAGAGCTGCGCACAAAGTTTAGGATATTTCCTACCTCTTGTAAATTTTCAATGTTCCCTTTGGAATTTGAAAATAGAGAGTGGGCAATATCTGTTTAAATGATATTTAAATGAAGAGGGATTAAGGTAAGTAAGGGGAGGAATTGCAAGTAAGGGAAGGTAAGTACAAGGTAAGTATGAGGTAAGTAAAATTATTAAAATGTACTGCAAAGTAGAAAAAGTATTGTCTAGAGAATTGTTGGAGATGATGTAAAATCATGGACGATCGAGAATTGATATACTGGAGGACCGGGGTTCGATTCCCGTCCATAGTTTTGATAATTCTTTTAAATATATTTTTTGTTTTGTTTTTATTTTTCGCCTATAAAAACATTGTAAATACACAATTATAAATAAAGTTTCTTAATAAAAAAATTTATTCTTTACGCTTCCTTATGCTAGTTTATATTTATTACAAAATAATAATATTATGTAAGAAAAATACTTTTCTATAGCAATCTTGTTTACTACAGGAAATACAAAACCTATCGCTCATGTAAGTATTAATTATTAAATTAAACATCCTATAAGAATGTTGCCTATAATTCCAACTTTGCTGTGCAGCTATAAATTTTCATGAATTAATTACAAAAACTTGGCAATTTATTAATTTTCTACTGTCGAATTGATTTCTAGTATCCAGTTCGAATACAAATTTTACCGCCTGCGATCAGCGCCATCTATGATTTTGGAATAGTTTCTCAAATAGTTTACTAACTCTGATTACGTGCACCTAATATATTTTAATTTATTTTAATAAATAAAATCATAAAGTTTTCTACATTCTTTAATAAATTCAGCCGAAACAGCGGTTTTAATTAGACAATCAGCATTCATTTCTTTACCTGGCAGACGACAAATATGCAAAGGTACGCCTTTACAACGCAATTATAAAATTTCATAAATTAAACACAGAAATTGAGCGATTTGTTAATTTTTCTCCAAGTGAACAGGAGAGTGCATAGGAAATGAGAAAAAATTACAAACAAACGCCGGAAGCATTGTTGTGTCCATGCAGGTGTGCCTGCATCACGAAAAGAATGTAAGTATTTGTATTAACATAACCTTTAGTTATAATTAAATAGTGTAAGTTAGAAAAGACAGTATTCTGTTGAAATAAACAGGCACGTGCAACAATAGAAAAATATTGGTCTCATGGAATATCATCAGCATAGATGCCAAGAATTATACTTTATACCAAGAAAAAATTGAAGCAGCAATATAAATATGTAAAGTATAATATGTCTATTGCATTCTAGGTCGGTTAACCATATGACATACAAGATAGAAAT